TATATGTATATATAATATGAGTCGTATCACAGTATTATTATTATTATTATTATTATTATTATTATTATTATTATTATTAATTATTATTATTATTGAGTGAATGAAAGTCACACACACACACACATACACACACACACACACACACACACACACACACACACACACATATATATATATATATATATATAAATTAATAGAGAAACAGCTTGATATAGTGAATATCCAAACAGCCAAATTAAGAACGCCTGAAAGGCCAAGATAATAAAGAGAGGCCTTCAACAGCTTCCCTGCACAGGCGGACACGGGCCTGGGTGCTCGCTGTTGTGCCGCTGGGTGGGTAAGGCTGTGAGGGTTAAGCCAACAATAATACATGGATGGCCTCAAATCTAATAAGAAAACGAGGTGTAATAATTCCTTAGGTTATCAGAAGGAAAAACCTCTGATCGGGAAGGAAAACTACCTCACACAGCTCGAGTTACAAATAGCGCGGCCACACAGTTTTTAAAAACAAAGGCAAAAACAATGGCTGTTACTTTTGGTGCGCGCGCTTTCCAGCAACAAACTCCCGCCGCGTGGGGAAATGCCTCTGATGGCTTCTCCTTGTGGCTAAAAGGAACGGCGGGGGAAGGGGTGGAAAGAATTCTTACTGCTTTCCACACCAAGACGGTGTTCTGAGGGGAAAAATCAAACGATACGACTCGGATGAGAGCGAAAATGCCCACGCCGCTATTGCCGATATAGAGAAAGGCAATGTGGAATCACAATGGTAGGGGGTAGAACAAGCAGATGGGGGGGGGGCTCAGAGCAATGCCGAAGCCGCCCGCCACTTCAGGCGCGAAACAGCGCTGCCCAAAAATGCAAATGATCTCCGATGACCAGATGGAGAGAGCTAACGTCGTGAGATCGTAATGTGATTTGGAGGCTAAAAGCCTGAAAAAACGAACTGGACTATATCCAAACCTGCTGAGTAATACTCCTGTTTCGGCCAAGGAAGAACAAAAAGCACTGCCTATCCACAACGAGGCTGAGCCAAAACTGGGGAATGCTGGGGAGGAGTCCCGTGGAGGAGGAGGAGCGTTCCACAAATTAAGCCCAGCCTAGACATGCAGAGACTGAAGCACCTCCCACTACTGGATGCTCTGAGCAGCTCATGGGAGAATTTTCTATTCAGAAAAGAATAGAAAAAGCATCCTGGTAACTCACATCCCTCAGGAAAATCTAGTCAAAATCAATGAGATTGTTTACACAATGTTTGGTTTGTGCTGATGATATCAGCTTTAACAACAGCTAGGCAATTATCACTGCAAAAGAAGTATTGGTTGATGTTCCTGTGCAAAGAGTCTCTTCCCAAACAGAGATGTTCATTCTACTACTTTTTAATGGATAAAAGTCGCAAATCAAAATTAAGACTTTAAATTCACTTTACACATTAGAAGATTGGAACTGAGTAAAGACAGAAAGCTAAATCAAAGTCTACATAGTTATGCCAGAAAAAATGAGTCCTAAAGGTATTTTTCGGGGGTGAGAGGGTTTGGCAACCATCATAAATTTGCATATCAAGTTTTTTCTGCATTTTATTTGCAATGGGAAGTGTGAGAAAGAAACTCAAACTAACTCTAATAATAACCCTACCTTAATTTTATTTGGTATAAGATGGGATAGAGAAGAACTTGACTTTCAAAATTGTATTATTCCATTGTCAACCTTACAAGGTAGACCAGATCAGGAAATCAACTGCAGAAGAAGACTATGGAGATACTGTAGATTATAGTAATGGAATATGTTTTATCTTCCTTCCTCTTATGCCCCTTTAAGTCAGGGAGCAGCCAGCCTGAGGCTCCTTTTAATACTGCCTCCTTTCCCCAGTCTTCAGAAATGCTTCTGTTTTTGTTTCTATAACAGTTCCTGAATACTCCCTTCAATGCCATCTCCAAAGTCCTCTACCTCTTACTCACTATAATAAAGGGAATCCCTGGAATCCCTGCTATGTCTCTTTACTCAACTTGGCCTACTTTGAAGGGCTGCTACTGGAGGGGGCAATTTTGGCCCATTTTTTTTAAATGTTTGAGGGGTTTCAGAGCGCTTTAATAGCAACCACTGTGTTTCCCGAAAATAAGACCTACCCTGAAAATAAGACCTAGACTGATTTTTCCGTGTGCGCCTAATATAAGCACTACTCCCAAAGTAAGCCCTACTTAAGGGCCTGCACAGCCAGCCAGCCGCCCATTCCATCTGGTTGCTCGCAATGCTGCCAACACAAGGTGAGGAGAAGCATCCACGCCCCGACATCTACTTCGTGGTGGCAGCACTGGCAGCCATGTCCAGCAGGAGCCCACGTGGCTACCAGCCCACTTCTGCTTGCTTGCAGCTGCAACAGAGCAGGAGGCCAAGCAGCACACTGGTGCTGTGCCCACGAAGCAAAACAGGGGTGAAGCTACCCCATGTGCCATGCACCAGCTTACCTCAGTGCCCCCGCAGCCAGGCCATCCACGCCCCGACACCTGCCTCATGGTGGCAGCACCAGCAGCCATGTCCAGCAAGAGCCCACGTGGCTGCCGACCCACTTCGGCTTGCTAAGGCCTGCAATGGTGCAGAAGGCCAAGCAGCGCACTGGTGCCGTGGCGATGAGGCGAGATGGGGGATGGACGGAGCTCCCAACATGCCACATACCAGCTTATCTCTGGGCCCACGTAACTAGGCTACCCACCCCTAACCCTAATCCTCAATGAAATCAAGTTTGACACTCGTGATTTAATTGTAGATTTAACGGGAATTACATTTTGACCCCCAGACAAGATTAGTGCAAAAAAAAAGCTATTAATGCAAAAAGAAAGATACTCTATTGAGTTCAAGAGGGAATCATGGAAGACTCTCAGGGAAAAAAAATTACAGCTTTCTGCAAAGAGAAGAAATTGGATTTTCGTATGATCTGAAAATGGCGAACAGAGTACGGTAACCTCAATCAACAAGTGGATGAGGAAAATGCTAAGAAGCGCAAATGTGGATCAAGTTGGTAACCATTATTTCCTGAACTGGAAGACAACATCTCTGAATGGATTGCTGACAAGAGAGAAAAGGCTTTGGTTGTACACAAGGCTGATATTCAAGCATTTGCAGTCGCAATGACAGCACAGTTAGAAATATCCCCAGAAGAAATCAAAGCATCACAACACTGGATGAATGGTTTCCTTCATCGATATGAACTGTCTCTAAGAAGATCGACATCACTGTTTAAGCTGGAAGATACTAAACTTATTAAATGTGCACCTATATTCAAGTCCTTTGTTGATGGCATTGACTTTTCTAAATACCAACTCTCCAACATGATTACTATAGATGAAACTGCAGTGTTTATGGGCCAAGGATCTCAAATGACAATTGATCAGAGTGGTGCCTCGTCAATCTACATTCTCTCCGCTAGTTATGAAAGTGTACCTGTTACCTGTATATTGGCAATTCATCTGGATGGAAACAAAGCCCCACCTCTAATCATCACTAAGGGCAAAAAAGATAAGATTGAATGTGTTTCGGGCATTTAAGTTCTTGAAACAAAAAGCCTGGTGCACAAAAGCAGTTATAAGTTATAAGGAAGTGAGTCTATTTGATGCTGCCACTTGTTTTGCAAGTTGGCCAAAGAGGTCTGCTAGTCTGGGATTCAGCCAGCACTCACTGCACTAAAGAGATGAAGAAGTTCCTTGCAGAGAGAAAAATACATCAAATAATGATTCCTGCATGAATTGACTGCCTATATTCAGACTCTTGATATTGCAATAAACGAGCCATTCAAGGACCATTTCCACATGGAAATCAATGACTACATTGAAAATATAATGCAGAGAAATCAGTGTGAAAACTTTGTGAGGCCTAGCCTGCAAGAGGTCGTGACTTAGGTGAAGAATTCATGGGATAAAATCACTGATACCTGTGTTGCCAATGCATTATGAACAGGCTACATAGACAAGAAGTGCTCACTGGAATTTGAAGTTTGGAAAGTTATGCTGATGTTCCAGAAGATGATATGACTATAGGGGAGGTGGGGGTGTTTAGGGTTTGGCTTGTGGTTGCTCTGGGGGTTGGTTTAGGGTTTGGCATTGTGGTTGCCCTGACTGGGGGGGTATTAGGGTTAGGTGTGGATGGCCTGGCTGCAGGGGCCCTGAGGTAAGGCGGTGCAGGGCACATGGGGAAGCTCTACCCCCCCCACACTTTACTTCACGCCGCCTTACCAGCAGGTTGCTTTTTCTCCTGCTCTGTTGTGGCCACGAGAAAGCAGAAGTGGCCGGCAGCCACATAGGGTACTGCTGGACGGGGCTGCTAGAGCCGTCACCATGAGGTGAGGCAAATATCAGGGCATGGATAGCCTTGCTGTGGGGGCCCTGAGGTAAGCCAATGCAGGACACATGGAGGAGCTCCACTCCCCCGCAGTCTTTTGCCCCGTTGCAGCTGTGAATAAGCAGTAGTGGGCCTCCCTTACATGGAAAAAAATAAGACATCCCAAAAAATAAGCCTAGTGCTTATTTTGGAGCTCCCAAAAATATACGACCGGGTCTTATTTTCAGGGAAACATGGCAGCAGCATTAAGCCCATTGGGCCTCTTTATTGCAGTTTTAATTTAAAAACAGAGGGTTTTTTCAAAATTTTGACAACACAACCTCCACAAACTAGCAAGAATGGAGAGCTGTACGCATCCCAGGAGCTATATAGACCTCTTTCAACTGAAGACACCAGAAATTGGGACCTGCAATATTATGCAATCAATATACTGTGGTTTTCCCTTTACATTTTAATCTGGCTAATGACAATCCAGACTTGTTTAATGCTGGAGAATGGTTGGAAATGGCTGCAGTATTCCACAAATTTGGCCTGCTATAGGATAGCATCATTATTCCTAGCCATGAAAGCAGCAAGGGAAGAATTCTAAACAGAGCTACAGTGGACATTTTACTAGTACAGGCGAGGACTCTATCGACCAGGGGCCAAAAAACTTCTCATACTCTCATTACCTGTCTACCTTTCAGAATATGCTTGGGCACTGGAACTTTAATTTCCAGGTCGCTATAGTCCTGAGACCACGTGTAGTTCTCTCGCACCGCTCCATTGTAACTGTCAGGATTGGCCTGGAATTGTTCTTGTTTCCTAAGGAAAAACAGAGAAAAGAATGAATGTCAATTGGATCGACATAAGAACAGCAATAAGTCTTATAATAACTCTTATCAGTTCTAGGACTGTATCAGTCCATCAGACCGCCTTCACCAAAACCCTTCCCAAGATGCAACTCTTGCTCCTATTATCACCTTTAGGTGACGGTTTACATTCAGCCTTCTCCACACCCGAAACATTATTGGCTTTTGACTCAGTAATATTAGGCAGCAGAATTATACTGGCTACCGACAGAAATTCAGAACTTTATTCCAATATATTCAAGGTGAAGGAGCTAGTGTACATCAAATTCCATAAGGCTGGCTAATGTGCCAGCTTAAAATGGACTATTCCCAAAAATAAGACAAGTTGATACTCTTTTGTGGCACAAAGCAACAAATAACAGAAATTGATTATGCTAAACAAGAATAACTATCTTTATTCAGAAGGTGGCTATGTCTCTTTAGGTTATTCAACTTCACTATCTTCCCCACGCCACCCCCTCTACATACAGAAATGTTATCTAGTTCTGGGCAGCCTCCAAGACAAAATAGTTAAAAATAGCATAACAAAAGGGTAATGCAGTCAGACTTAGTAACATGGGAGAGAAATCTCTTCTTCCCCAAAGACAGAATCATAACATGGGGACAGGATGAGACAATGGAACCCCCCAAACCTACGAAAATTTTCAGTGGAAAACTAACTTTTCACTCTGTTTTTTTTTTCTTTTTCCTGTGTATGACATTTGTATCTACTTCTAATATTTAAATTTGCTGAATTATCACACTGGCAGAAGATATTTGGTCCAGCCTTTTCTGAGTCATTGGAAAATCCAGGCACTTTCCTTGGGCTGGGATCATTCAGGGCTGGGATACAGAAGTAGCCTTAGCTTCCTGTAATGGATTTGTGAGAATGTTCTTGATAAATAAAGGACAGAATGGGACAACTCGCTGCTTGACATCTCACTATGACCAACTTGTTATGGGACAACTCACTGAGGAAAAATTCAACAATTCATTATTTAAAATAATTTAAAACAATATTTTAATTTTTGTCATTCACATTTCATTTTGTCCCTCCTTTGGCATCCTTCCTTTAATAATTTGATTCCACTATTTTTTCAATATTAATGCAACTCTTGTCCCGCAGCAAGCTTTCCTACATGTTGGCGATGGTGAGTTGTCATAGACCCGCCTAGGGAATGGCTGGATAAGAGGCCAAAGCCCACAACTGCATGAAGGTGCAGAAAAAAAGTCTTAGAAGAGACTCCCTTCCTTAAGCTCTCAGGCTAAAAGGGAGACAGTGGCAGATTTGTACTTTCAGTCTTGCAAGATTGACGTCAGCGTTTGCAGCCAGGAAACACAACTAGATGTGCTAATTCTACTTTATTCTAAGCCTACATTAACAGAAAAGCCTGAAAGTATAAAATTCACTAATATAACCAGACTTTTCAGCTTACCAAAACTAAAATGTCAAACATTTTGAAAAGAAATTAGCTTGGTTAATGCAAAAGAACCGTGGGTGTTGAACTGCTCAGAAAAAAAAAAAAGCCATTTATATAAATTACACCTGAACAATATTTAAAGTGGGAATTTCCTTTTGTTTTTGTCTAGCTACAGGGATCTGTGTGATTATATGTCAATTCTCACTGGAAACCAAATATAAGTTAGTGCATATGTTTATTATCCTATTACATATTTTAATGAAAAATATTACATTTACATCCCACAGGTTCTCAAGTGGTCTCCAAATTAAGGGACTGAGCAGAGTTTAGACACCAAGTAATGTCTGCATGCATACTTTCATGCATACCCAGTGATGAGAATTTGTGAAATATCAGAGAAACAAAATGAGGGAAAAGGATGCATTAAAGGAGCAAAACAGTCAAAATGTCAAGTAAAATGTTATCAGTTTATAAGTATTAAAATTATCTTAGTCACTGCAGTTTTATTGTGGATAAAAAAAACAAATGTCCAAGAATAACATTTCAAATAAAATTGCATATTAAAGCAATACTGATGTGCAAAATATATTAGACAGAAGGCACAATACTGTGCATATTCATATATATTGTTAGTCCACATATGATATACCGTATGCTAGATTTTAAAAAAACCAACAGTGTGCATTTTTAACTACTTCAAAAGTACCAAATGGCACCAGGTCCAGGATGGCAAACTCCAGTGGTAGCCAGGACTGGATAAAAAACAGCTATGTACTTCAAGATATATTATAATGGAATTAGGTAGAAATACTTTCGTTTAATTCTAGACTGTAGTCAGAACATCAGTTAGAAACAATATCCCATATGTTTACCTTAATGTTGATCAATTCAATATTAAGACCAAATTAACAAGAAATTCAGCCCAATTTAACTGAAATGTCAAGCCTTTTGTTTAGTTGCTTCAAAGAGAAATAAACACAATCGAATTAAAGTTATCATTTAGCCATCTTTGTACAGAAATACAAACCAGGGAACCAGATAAACAAGACTCTTAAATAAAGAGAACTGAAGTTATACAGTATAAGAATTAGCTCAATCTTTCAGTTTTTCATAATAATCACCAAGGAGAGGAATTCACACTTATAAGTAAATACTAAACCAGAAGAATGTTTAGACATTGCTTACCCCTAAAATGATCAGCATTTCAGGACACTCAACTCTCAAACGGCAGGTGAGGATGTTCAAACCAAACTATTAACTCAGTTAACTTCTAGTGACAGGCTGAAGTTAATATGAAGTGCAAAACCCATAGGTTGCATCTATATTGACCAAACTTAATTGGCTTCTAATACCCAAGAGGGTTGTTTATCGCAGGAGTAAGTTTATTAAAAAAATTATTAAAAATTCAATTCATTTTGCTGCACTACTGAAAGAAATAGGAATTCAATGTCAAGATTAGGAAAAGAAGGAAAACAGCAGAAATGGTCTTTCTAGAATGATTCAAATACGGTTAGAATCACTGTTGTTAAGTTAGTAACACAGTTATTAAGCGAATCTGGCTTCCTCATTGACTTTGCTTGTGAGAAGGTTGCAAAAGGTAATCCCATGACCCTGGGACACTGCAATTGTCATAAATATGAGTCAGTTGCCAAGCGCAACTCACATGACTGATCACATGACTGTGGGGATGCTGTGATGGTCGTAAGTGTGGAAAACAGTGATGGTTCACAACTCACTTTGTGACCAAAGTTACAACAGCGCTAAAAAAGTGAGTTATAACCATTTTTCACACTTATGACTATATACCCATGGCAACTGACTCATATTTATGACAGTTGCAGTGCCCAGAGGCCATGTGATTCCTTTTTGTGATCTTCTGACAAGCAAAGTCAATACTCTGTGATGGCGAACCTATGGCACACGTGCCACAAGTGGCATGCAGAGCCATTTCTGCCGGCACACGAGCTGCAGGCAAACTCACCTCACTGCTCATGTGCGCGTCTCACAGCTGATTTTCAGCTGGTTTGAGGCCTTTTTCGACTCCCAGAGGTTTTTTTTTAAAAAATAAATGTTATTGATTTTACAATTAAAACAGACTAACAACACATACCGTATTTGCCGGCGTATAAGATGACTTTTTTGCCCTGAAAAACATGCCTCCAAGTGGGGGGGTCGTCTTATACGGCGAGTATATAACAAAGGTCGTCTTATATGCCGGCAAATACGTTGTTGTCACTCGGTGCAAGAGCGACGGGGGCGGAGCTCCGCAACTTGCGAAGCCCCTTCAAGCCCAGCCGGAGTCTTCCTCCTCCTCCCCCACCCACCCACCCACCCACTCCGCTCGTGCGAGTGGACTGGCAGGCTCCAGGCTTTGCCCCCATCCCTCACCTCCTTCCACCCCCCTCCACCCCCCCCCCCAGTGGCAGAAACTTCGCCGCACGTGGGGACGAGTGGAGGGGGTGGGAGAGCAGCGACGCCGCTCAAAGCTGAGAAAGCACCATCCTTGCTTTTGCGCTTCGGAAAGAGTTCGTGTTTTTTGTTTTTTTGTTTTTCTCCCAGGAATGGGATGCTGCTCGTGCGATTTTCTTTGGGAATTTTTCTCTTCCCGGTTTCAGCCTTTGCTCTGAATCCTTCCCCCCCCCCGCCACCCCCAGATTCACTTCTGGAAAGGATGCTTGTGTAACTCTTTTCCTAAGCGTTGCTGGGGTGGAGGGGGGGCAGTGTGCAGTGTGAGCGAGAGGCTCCTTTCCTTTCTCCCTGAGCGCAAAACCGTCTGCCTTCTTCTCTCTTGGACGGACCGAGCAAGGCTAATAAGATAATAATAAGATAATAAGATAAGATCCTAAGCGCGTTGTGGAAACAGATCTGGATCTCGTTGGAGAAAGGTAGCAAATGAATGAACTGGACTTTTGGCAAGTCTCGGGGTAGGAACTCGACGCTTTCTGGAAAGTTAGTGAGCAGGAAAATAGACATCCTTTCCGCTTTCTCCCAGCGTGGGTATCTCATTATCCTTCCCTGTAAGAAGTAACAACCACAAAGCCAAGGGAAAAAAGGACCAGTTTCTTGTGCCTGATCAGTGGCGGCCCTTTCGCACTCAGAACTTTCTCCTTTGCGCTCGTCCACGGTCCAGCGACCGAGCCTCCCCGCGTGGAAATAAGGAGGCCTTCTCTCTCTCCCCCCCCCCACGCCCCCCAGCCCCCAACGGTGAGCTGCACATGCGCCAGACTGCTCCGGCCAGCTCGCCATCCGAGTGCAGCCAGAACGATGCGCAGGAAAAAGCCACAGTAGGAAGTAAAGATTTCTCCCCCCCCCACCCTCTCTCTCTGAAATAATTAATGTCGCAATCAGTGTGGTGCACCCTTGGAGGCAAATTGGTTGGGGAGGTGGAAAGATATTAAGAAACAACTCGACTGTTTTTCGTCCAGTTTTATTTTTTTTTATTTATTTTCCACTGAAAAAAGCAGATCGCTCAACGGTGTCACAAAGAAAGGGAGAGGAATTGAGTGCCAGCCTGAGAAAGGCGAAGCTGCCTCTCTAAAGCATTTTGGTGGCT